TTTTTTTTTTTCATTTAGGATTTCCTTGCCAGACAGTCCTTTCTAAATTAAATTGAAAACTGAGTTGTGGCATTAAATAACCTGACGTTCCTACTCTGTATTCCAAGGCTTGAAACGTTTTAATTCTTTGAATTTTCTCTGATCAACCACAACATTTTTTTATTCTTCTGAGTTTTGATGTAATCTGCCACTGCGAAGTACTACATAATGGTGCAGAAAATAACATTTATGTCATGCGTATGTGATGTGTGCATTTGTGTTCAGACCCTTTTTAGTCTGTTACTCCTTAATAAATTCCAAGAACTGTGCAATGAGCATGCAGCAGATAAGAAATACGTTACATTTGTTACTTGTTATGAGGCACATTTAGCTCTCTGTGTGCCTCATAACACAGAAAGCTAAATGGCAACTCCTGTTTTAATTAACAGGAGTTGTAATTTCACTTGTTCCTCCAGCCATGACATTAATTCAATAATTTCATAATTTCAATTAAGCAACAGGAAGAATATCTCATTGGCCTGCTTCTGTAGAGCAAATATTTCCAAACACTGCAAGGCATCTAACGCAGCAGACTTGTCAGCTAAATTATAGATTCGTCTCACGGCTCAGTTTACAAATGCATCTTAGGAAATACTGGACTAGTTATTCTATGCATGATTTACAGCTAATGAAAACCCAAAGTCAGTTTCTCAGGAGGCATAGAATATTAAATAATAATTTTTAAAAATGATTAACAAATTGGTCTACAGAAAAGCTTCTATGTTACAACATCTGCACTGAGTGTTTAGTTGGGGCTCATTTTGCATGAAATACTGCATAAAGGAGTAACAGTGCATGGAGTTGTGTTGAATGCTTCGCCTCAACTTTTTCACTCACATCTTTCCTACATTTTTTCTTCCACTAAACTTTCCGTTACAGTTCTGTAATTAATCTGTCTGCGTCTGCACTTGAAGGTCCTAAACAGGAAGTTGTGCGAACCAGTTTCTAACTTGACGTGGTTCATTCAAAGAATCCGAAAGGTGTTTCATTTGCATCTGTCTTCTTTTACGCCCCCCTCACTCCTACGAAAACTAAGGCAGACTCTGCCCAGCGCAGTTCAGTAAGGCAGCAGCAGCACATACACACACATACTCACACACACACACACACACACCACGTACGGATTTAGCCGACCGACTTTTGACTTTAAACAATGCAGAGGAGGCCTGAAAAGTTGGAAAATGCATCTTTAGGCACGGGACTGGCTGGGACAGCAGCTGTGCGCCCACGGATCGGGGTTCATGTGTTGGTTCCCCTGCATTCATAAGGAAAGTCGCCTCAGGAGCTGGGAGAAGACACGAACAGCCGGACTGCGGTGCCAATAAGGAAAATCCATTCATTTTTTTATACATGTCGGATTTACCACCGCTGGGATATTAATTTAACTCTCGTTTTAGGCCAGATTTAATGCTTAAGGCACCACCGGCTGCAGTTTGGAACCTACTTTTGGAGACGTTGGATGTGTTTTTACGCACGGGATTTTCTCAACAAATGACCACCTGTGATTGCTCCTCAACTATCTTCCTTCATCCTCTCTGGTCTTTTTTCCACTCTGACCCAAATCATCATCATCATCATCATCGTCGTCATCTGCTACACCGGCTTTGACGAAGGAGACTGAAAGGCATCCAAACGCACCGGCGTGTGGCTGAGAATGCGTGGAGGTGGTTTCCCGATGTCCGTCTCCGTGGTGATGACTCTGCTTTTGGTCGTTATAGACGTGAAGGCCAGCGGGGAATACTGTCACGGGTGGCGAGACTCGCAGGGCGCGTGGAAAGACGGGTTCCAGTGCCCGGAGAAGATCGACGCGGAGGACGCGATCATCTGCTGCGGGAAGTGCGAGCTGCGATATTGCTGCGCCAGCACGGACGCGCGGCTGGATCAGGGCAGCTGCGAGAACGACAAGCAGGCTGAGGTACCGGGAACAGAGAGCAAAGAGGACAAGGACTCCCGCGCAGGTAAGAAAGCGGAACCAGTGGCGGTTCTTTCATGAATGGTGGCCCCGGGCAAGCCCTTTCATTTGCCCCCAACAATCTACTATAATCCACTTCATTCTTGACCACTTTCAATATGCGTGTTTCACATTTGCCACAATGTTAGGCTATCCTAATGAAATCATAAGAAATGACCCTACAACTTTTTAATTTAACACCAAATCATCGGCTGTAATTCAGATACCAACATCAGTATAGCTGCCCTTAGTGTCCAGCAATAAAGTCTTCATACACCTATGAACTATAGGAGGCATCCTTCTCTCTGAATAGCAAAAAATGTTACTGAAAGCAGAGTTGGCATTTTTATTATGCCCCATTGAACATGCAGCCCTGGGCAGAAAGCCCCAACACTTATGTCAAAACCAGCCACAGTCCATGACTTCTACTATTGCACCCTTCAACGTGCAGAGCAATTCCCATTCACAGCAAGTAACACGACCATTTTTTTCTGGATGCTTAAAACTCAACAAAGGAAATTGAGTATAAAAGTCAGTTTAGCATGTTCTTAAATCGTAGGAGGATTTTGAACTTTCTCAGAGTCTCTAAAGAATCATGAAATTAGGGCTCTGAGACGAGGCTGTTTGACTCATTAACTGCTTTACCGTAAAGTGAGTCAGTGGTGATGATGGCAGGACTGGATGCCAGTAAAAGCGACCCACTTGTCAGTGGAGCTGCTTCTAAAAACCAAACCAAACAAAACCTAGGAACTGGAAAAATATTATTTAATAAATATGCAACAATTAAAAACAAAAAATGAAGTATCTATATCAAACAAATAAATGCAGAAATATTTAAATGTTTCAAATATTTTTAAAACATTATTACGTTCAAATAATTGCTAAAATAAGCATTTTCTATTTATTGGTGCTATTTATTAGAGCTCTATGTAAATAATCACATAAAGAGCCATTTATGTGAGCAAGTATTAATGTATTGGATTGTGGTACTTTTAGCTCTCCATACCATCATATCTCCAATAGATAATTCTTTTTTTTTTTTTTTTGCCTCTTATCTTCCCCTCTGAGGTGCGTCCCTCTGGGCAGAAAGCCTTATTGCCCGTAATTAGGATTATATTAATCCAAAAAAAAAATAATTCCAGCCTAATACGAATATTTTGATATTGTCGGTTGGACAACATCATGAAAAGCCTCTGCTCCAGATGTTTTGGACTTGATCTTCAAAATCCGAAAAGTGTGAAGCTCCGGTTTTCCCCTCCCTGCCCTGCGCCACTAACGCGGCATTGCGTACAGCAGCCATGGCTCTCTGTAAAAAGGACTCATCTGTTGCGACAGCTGCAACAGGAGACAGCAGACTCCTCCAAAAACCAGTTAACAGCCCTCACAAATGGCAAATTGTGCCATGCCGCTGCACTTTATAAATAGCCGTGTTTGTTCTGTAACAGTGCAGAGCAGGGCCAGGCTCGAATCACGCTGTCCCCACGGGGATCAAATTTGGACTTGACCGGATCTTGGAGAGTGGCTTGCCCTGGGTGCTGACAGCACTGTTCATAAAGGAAGAAGAAAGAAAAAGAAAAACTCAAATCATGTTATTTTCCTGTTCAACAACCCACCTCCCACCTACTGCTGCAGTCTTTCTGGTGTCTGTGGGCTTTAGGAGATTCGCTCCGAGGGGAATCTCCTGACATCCAGGGAGGAATAATTACCAAAAACAACAGCTCAACCTGTAGTTTTCAGCTTATGTTGGTGATTTGTTGACAAAACAAACTCATTCCTCGTTACCAACATTCCCATGAGGTAATCTTTCATCAAGTCTTTGAACTTGCATTTTGCCACAAGAAGGCACCAAGAAGCAAGACAGAAAAGACGTACTTTTTGTTTTCGTCCTTGGTCTTCTAGCTACAGTGTAACCCGTCATTTGCAACTTCCATACGTTATCACTGCAGGAAGAGGAACATACATTCCGGTCTATGGCCTCCTGCCAGAATTACCTCAAAGTGGTTGATTTTTCTCACCAAGCACAGAGAGAACTTTTTTTTTTTTTTTCAAACAGGAAAACCTTGTTCACTTTGCGCTTTTTGCACATTTTTCACTCGCTTGTGGCCTATTCATCATTCCAGAATGATACAGTGGCAGGAAATTATTAATGTGCTCAACATGAGGGAACATGTGGTATTTAGGAACAAGAGAACCCCCGCGGGATGGCCCGAGGAGGCAGAGGCCGGCCGGCCGGCCAGCCTCAAACAGACTCTGCTCCAAACAAGAGCTTAAAGGTGGAGGGGGGTCGGTGGTGGGGAGGGGGCTTTTAACTGCAGCGTGGCTGCCACAGCTCAGCGGCAGCAACAGGTGTGGACGAGTGACAGAAAACAATGGGGGGGAGCTTCGACCGTCATGTGCGTGAAAACCGATTCTTGCTTCTTCTTTTTTTTTTTTTTGCTTGCTACCTTCATGCTTCACTCTAAGCATGAAGGTAGGATTCAGGGAATCTGAATTTACACTAGAAACACAACAACTGTCTCACACTTCAGCTCCTTCAACACATGGGACATTAAAGCATTTAAATGTAGATCTAAGTCAGATTTTAAATCAAAACTTTCGCTTCCGTTGGATAATAAAGTTCAGAGCTGCTACGTGGTGGCTTGGAAAGGTTTCCATGCCTCCACTTTTCCACTGTTATGATTCATGTGACTGACCAGCACAATTTAGTGTGAAATTGTGAGACGACAGGAGAACAACACATGGTTTTCTGCTTTTGCCGATGTGCAGTGTTAGCTTTCGGACACCACAGTCTTAAAAATAACTTAAAAGTTCTGTTTTGATCTCAATTGGAATGTTTTCGCAAAATCCGGATATGTAGAAAATATTCTCGCACCTGAGCTGTGGATCTATGCATCTCCTCCAGATCTACCACAGATCTCTTGGGTGCTTCTCTGACTTTTGCTTTTCTCACTTTAGGTGAATGTTCACGTCTCGTTAGGTTTGACCTTGTGTCGTTCTGACGACGGATTGAACAATGCTCCCATTCCTGGCCTTTCTGCTGTGTTGCTTGGTCTCCATGATGGTGTTTAAGGACACATTTTCAGATTTTCTTTATTTAAAAGGGTCAAATTTTAATACAACTCTAAAAGGCTATCATTGTAGCGTGACAAAAGATTAAAAAAAAATTTACACAAAAGCACAAGGGAATGAGGATATAAAACATTAATTTGAAGTAGATTTGTGATATAGGTATAATATTTTGTTCGCCCACCTCTCCAGTTGTGAGGGGGCTTGAGTTGGTTTTGTTTGCATTTTTTACTAAAGTGCCAGACTGTATTTTCTGTGCGATTGAGCAAGTAAACCTCGAAGCTCGACTTTTTTTCCTCCTCCACCATTGATTTAAAAGGTGATTTTAGAAAAGGCAGATCTGCAAGAAGGGATGAAATCACACACACACACACACACACACACGCACACACACAAAAAAAGTTCTGAAGCACGGAGGCAGAAATGTTGAAACCGAAGCTGTGTTACTGCAGGGAAGGAAAGACTCTCAGAGATATCTCTGCTGCGAGGCTCGGAGGCGAGAGGCGAGGTGCGACACCACCAACTACAAACGGGTCAAGGTCCGGGTTTTCTTCATGTTCCCGCGATCCTCCCTCCCTCTCTGGAAAAGTATCATGCTGTAATCCTTTTAATGCCCTGCGACTTTTGATGAGCATTCTGAAAAAGTCAAACGGTTGCATTTCAAAAGAGCCCAGAGACAAAAGGAAACTGGAGCAGGCTGCCACCTTTCTCCCTCTCTCTCTGTCTGGCCCACAGTTCCACCTCCTAACAACGCTCAGCTACACCCTGTGGGAACAATAAGACTAAATTAATCACTTTAAATGTCACATGGACGTTATTGTGTTTGGAGGGAATGAATGGGTGCAGGAAACACCTCGTGAGTGACATCATGTTATATGCCGTCTGGGCAAAATTCGCTCTCTCTGCACTTTCCCCATTTGGCAAAAAACTGGAACGCTCCCGCTGATCAGGTTCCAAAGTTGTTCCTGGAGCGCTTCCTGCTCTCCTAACACATTAACACTCTAAAAGTGAGGTTTTCGCATGTAAAACTGTCAAGACTTTACATGTTCAACAGCGGACTCCGATTGGCGGAGCTGTGAAAGCTGCGAGCATGATTTGCTGTTTTAACTTAAAAAAAAGAAAAAAGAAACTCAGGAAGGTCAGTGAGAAGGAACCGGCTTAGTCCTCTGATTTACAGAGTGGAATAACTTCTCAATGCAACATTAAATCAGTCCACTTTAAAGCCTTTCTTTAAACTGATGCCAAGTGCTACAGTTCAGCTACAGTAACTTATTTTCATAAGCTTAGTCATAAATAGCTGAGGAAAAAGAGGGGTCACAAATATCCACTGGCAGCTGGGTTTTAGAACATTACCCAGTCCAACACACACACACACACACACACACACACACTGAAGCCTGTGGGGTGAAGGAGGCCGAGGACACAGCAGGGCGTGGAGGATTAAAACAGATCAAAACAAAGTTAATAACTGCTAATGAGAGCCTGAGAAACCCTGGGGACCCCAATAGCTCTCTGTCTTTTAATCTGCAACAAACACTTGCCTTGTCCAGTCTGTCGTTTTACTACCTTTACAAAAGTTTTCACGCTCCTTAAACCTTTCCCACATTTTGTCAAGTCACAACCTCAAAAAACCTTACGCGCATGTTTTCAAAGCCCAAAGAACGAGGCAGACCGCTCAGGGATAAAGTTGTGGCAACGTCTGAAGAAGGATGAGGTTATAAAATACTGTCGTAATATATTTAAACTTCTGGACTGTATCGTTACATCCATCATGCGAAAATAGAAAGTAGGCCTATATGAGCATGAGGCACATAAACTACAAGAGGAGGGACTCATGGCAGCTGTGGAGGAGCAGCAAAGATCCACAACTTTATGGCCTTTGTGGAAAAGTCTCAAAAATAAAATCCACGGTTTTGCTTAGAGGTCACACAGAAAACATGTGGCAGAAAGTTCTCTGGTCAAAAGCCTGACTTGTATGCAAAATGTGATGAAAAGAGAAAAACTAACACCATATATCGCCATAGTGAAATATGGTGGCAGTGTCATCATGCTTTGTGAATGACTCCGGTTGATATGTCAGATTATTTCATCAAAAAATGTAGAAAACTATGCATCATTTTCATTGTTGTGCTAAATTTCCAATGAAGATGGCGGCTGTTATGTGGCAAAAATTTTAAAACGAGTTCAAACAGTGCGAATGCTTTTGTAAAGGCCTGAATAGCAGGACTTTGTTCAAACTTTTTTCTTTGAGGACACTCAAAAGACACTGTCTGCTGAACTCAGTTGGACCATCCGACACTCAAAGGTGCTTTCTTAAATACTGATGCCGGCAAATAGACTTCCACCAGTCCCACACTGAAGCTCGGTGGTGGCATAGCCATGTTGAGGGAATGCCTTTTCATCAGCAATGAGTGAAATGGACCGAAATAGAGGCCGAAAACCAGAGTCAGAGATTCAATAGAACATGTTGGATGTAAAATATTCATGAGTTAGAATGGCTTAGTCAAAGCCCGAATTCAGTGGAGAAAAGCAGCATTCCATCCAGACTAATGGAGACTGAGCTGTGTTATAAAGACCGGTCTCCAGATTAGCAAAGCTGGTAGAGACATACCCCAAAGACGAGTATTGACCCAGAAAGCTGAATAAAAATACACACCACACTTTTCAGATTTTTCTAAGCAAAACACAAAAAATAATTGAAAAGCATGCATTGCTTTCCTTATACTTTATAAATGTGTGCTTCGTGTTGGTCTTTCACATGAAATACTCTGACGTCTGCGGCAGTAACATGAAAATGCTTTAAATGTTACTAGAAGCCAGCTGAAACACTTGAAAACTCTTGATTAACGATCCCCGTGTCTCCTCCTTTCAGTGCCGATCTATGTGCCCTTCCTGATCGTGGGATCCGTGTTTGTGGCCTTCATCCTGGTGGGCTCCGTCGTCGCCGTGTGCTGCTGCCGCTGCCTCCGGCCGAAGCAGGAGCTCTCCTCGGCCGGCGCCTCGGGAAGCGGAAGCGCCGGCGGCCGCCTCCTGGAAACCATTCCCATGATGGCGAGCAGCTCCAGGGGCTCCTCGTCCCGGCAGTCCAGCACGGCCACCTCGTCCAGCTCGTCGGCTCCGCCCGCCGGGGCCCGCGCCGGTCCCGCTCCGCTAATGCGGGCTCAGGCCTCCTGCTGTCTGCCCCCGGACGCCAGCGTCTTCGTCAACATGCCCACCAACTTCTCAGTTCTCAACTGCCAGCAGGCCACCCAGATCATGTCCCACCAGTCACAGTTCATGCACCCACAGTACATCGGCTACGCCCACCCCGTGTCCCCGACGGCGGCCTTTTTGGACCACAGTCAGGGGGCATACAGACCCCTCCAGTCCCCCTGTCCTCCTCCGACAGCGGGATCCAGCGGCACCAGTGACAATAAAGGACCTCCAGTAACCGTGTGATGAGGATGGAGGTGAGGCGGGCCGGGGGAGGGTGGCTTACTTGCAGACCACTCTGGATTTTGTTGGAGCAGGGACGTCTGGGCTCACTTCCAAAGTGGAGAAAACAACAAAAAGAAAAAGAAAAAGAAAAGAAATCAAGGAGTCCGGACTCACATGAAGGACTTCTTAAGCTGTTCCCAGTCTGGACCTGCCCTGCTATTGTGTGTTGGCGTTTCATATGATCTCTTGGCAAAGTGTCACCGAGCTCAGCTCAACCCGTGATGGGGGTTTATGGATCCATAAACAACTCTCTGCAAAACTGAATGTTTTAGGGTTTACCACGGGCCAGGTGGATAACGACGCGCAGTTCAATGCAGTAAAACGCACGCAGCTCGAATCGGAGCCGCGTGCGTTTCTTGTGCACACGGACCCCTACGCGAAAAGCGTGAAAAGAGATTTGCTGGCTTATATGTGCAGGAATGAGTGACGACTGTTTTGATTTATAGCATGAAAAACCAAAAAAAAAATGGATCTCCGAGCAGAAAAAGAACAGGACCACATGTTTCGTTTAAGGCACCGTGCACATCTGTGGCCGCGAATAAAATGCGAGCGAGTTTACACAATATGGTACAGTTTTGTTTGTGTTGAAAGCGTGATGAGAGAAAGCATGTGGACAGACGTTCAGTGTGAGCACGAAGCGTGGACGGATGTGGTCTTGTGCGAGCAGCTCTGAGTGAACCGGGTGTAATGGGAAATGCAGGTGGTGTGATGTGTAAGGCTGTTGCAATCTCCCAGCAGACCATTTAACATCTAATGAAGTGAACACGGGACGCAGACTGTGACGCTCCACCCAACTATACCAGTTCCCCCACAAGGCCTTTTGCCCACCACCCAGAAAGAAAAAACAGCCCCCGAGCGGAAACGCTCTCACAAACCTCTACCACTTCCCCCCCCACCCCCAACTATATGGCAGTATTCACAGAAGGCTGGTGGTTAATGTTCCCTGGAAGTGTTACTGTGACACGAACAAGAGTGCAAATACCCAGCAAGGAATCTAAAAGTCTAACCCCATCAATTATTTCCTCTGAGAGGCAGATGTGGCTTTTGATATGGGCTACATGGGCAACTGCCCAGGGAGGCATTAGAAAGGTTGGGCGCAGAAGCACCAGATAAAACCAGAACTCAACTGAGTTGTATCGCATTTAAGAACCAACACTGGTGAGAGGAGTGTGTGTGTGTGTGTGTGTGTGTGTGTGTGACAAACGCTGCACAGTTCAGTGAACTTGCAGCCGTAGAGAGTCAGGCCAGGTTTGAGTCACAGTTTTCCACTTTAAAAAGTCACGAAAGTAGCAGTTATTGGCTGTGGGTTAGGAAAAACAAACAAAACTTGCTTAATTTCCAGTCATTCGGTGGAATGTTGCACAGCTGAGGAACATGCACTTGATGAGAACATGCAGCTACTCCAAGCATGGCATGTTTGTGCATCTCCTCTCTAGTCCAAGCACACTATGAGATTTAGTGGGGCAGCTTGTGTGAGACAAACCGTGGATTCATTATCGCTCCCTCTGAAACAATTTATAAAGCGGGGGGAGATGACACTTTGATATAAGTTTGAAAAAATAAACATTTTGAAACAGAATGTGGTCTGATGAGAGTTTGTGTCGCAGCGGTTTGTTGAGACAGATGAACAAGCGACTCTCGAACAAAGACACTTTGGTGGCTTAAGAGCCGACTTAATCCCTTTTAAAAACAGCCAAACAAAGAAGTACAAGACGCACACTCGCAGACAAGTCTGCTTCCCACAGCACTCGAAGCACAAAGAAACTTTAAACGTGAACGCTTCAAAGTCCGGGTTCCAGAAATAAGAGCATAAAGTGGAACGAGCCACTGGAGGGGAACTGAAAGAACCAAACGGATTTCTTCCTGCCAAAGATGGATTCTCCACCCAGCAGCAGCTGTGGTTGGTTTTGGCCGGGCCACATCCAGGAAGGTGGGTGGGAACAGGATCTCCAGCTGAGAGAGAGGGGGGGAGGGGGTGGGGAGGCCTCCTGATGATCCGTCTGCGAGGACTCTCCTGAGCTTAATGGTGAAGTGTGGGAGAACTTTGATTCTGGCCGCATTTATTGGCACCCCTGCTATTAATACAGTTTAAAAAGCTTCTTTTGCCAATAGGACGGTATTTTCTGTGGAACATTTCAGAAGGTTGGAGCACACATACACACACAGAGAGAGAGAGTGAGGGATCTTTGACCAGATCTCCAGGTCGTCTATTCTCTTGGCTCAACCTTTATGGTCGTTCCTCTTCAGCTCATCTCAAACGTTTTCAAGATGATTTATGTTGAGATTTTCAGTCAGGTTAAAGTCCGGACTCTGCAGGCCTCTCCAGGACACTCACAGATTTCTTCTGAGGCCACTCCTTTGAGGAAAAACCAAACATCGCCCCAGTCTGAGGTCAGATTGATCAGCGAGTATCTGTGAAAGCAGTGATTATTTAATCTAAACCATTCAGTTGTAGCTGTCTGCATCCTGCTGGATGGTGAGCCTTCAACCCAGTGAACTCTTAAAGCCTCCAGCAGGTTTTCTCCAGGAGAGCCCTGGGTTTATCACTACAGAAAAGCTCAGTTCTTGTGGCAAAATATGGTGTTGGTAGCATCATGCATTTGCGATGGTCTAGTCAGCGGCACATGTAGCTTTGAGTGAAGGGCAAAAATGTAATTTTGGTTGTTCCAGCTCCACCTGACATTTGCTGTGGCTTTCTTCACTATTCCAGAAGCGGCTGGTCTGTCGAATGCAGATCCTCTTTATTTCATGGTAACTGTTACAGGCACCAATAACCGTTACGTCAGTGATCGTGCTAAAATTAGTTTAGTTCAAATAACCTGGACTAAAATAGTATACTCAAATTAAAGGTTTTCCAAAAGTGTAGTTGAGGCTTTTGTTTACATCCTCATCAGGGTAAATGTACTCAACACTGCGCGTATCTCATGTCAAACCCTCGTGGTCTACACACACACACACACACTTTCAGTCTGAAACATAAACCAAACTTCTGAAGCTTCCCTGGAGCTACAGCTGGACTCTGAAACCTTTCAACCAGCAGTGGAAACACAAAGACATGAGCTCGGGTCATGGATTGATTAGATTTAATGATTAGGACTTGGATGGACATCTCCCCCCCCGGCCCCACCCGCTCCACAACCCACCAATACAAACCCTTCAATCTTGCATTCCTGAAGCAGTGTCCTCGACACAGAGCACACAGACAATGGACATTCAGACAGCGCAGAGAAACACATGACTCATGCAAGCGTCCTCAATCCAATCCCCTCGCCATTTTTGGACGCCTATTAGTAGTAGTTCAAGTAAAATATTCCTTCGGGTATTAACGGGTCTTCCCCCACTTATGAGTACAAAAACATACATCAAAAAGAAAGAAAAAAATATATATAAACACATACACATGAATGTCCACTTTAATCTTAAAAAATAAAACAAAAATAAAGTGTTTAGTTAAGAACAGATATCCCAACAGAACTTGAAGGGGAAGCGTTAAAAACGGGCATGCTGCTTCTACGTCAGCTGACGGCGTTAGACGAGTGCAAACAGACCTAAAAACTGTCCAGAGGAAAATGAACATGGCGGCTGCAGAAATGCAATGAGATGCGGAGATAAGAGCAAGGAAGAAATAAACAAGAGGAGGTCTCAGAGGGGTGTTGCAGCACGGTGGTGGTCCAAGTTTTAAGGTGGAGCGTTCTGCCTCAGCTGCACCTCTGTGGTGTTTGGCAGTGAAGCCTGGTGCTGCCATGGAGCCAAAACCGGGTGTGTAGCTGTGGTGCAGAGCTCCCTTCTGTCCTTTCTGAGGAATTTAGCCCGCACTCCATCATTTTGACATCCGTCTCCGCTTCGTTGCGTGACGACAGGTGTGCCGAATCCTCCTTGCTGGAGACGAGCGGAAACCGTGGAAGCGACACACATAGACAACACATGCACACACGCACAGCGCCGCGGTGTGCAGACGAACATGCACAGGCAGACGCAAACGAACAGAAACAGGCACACGCACGCACGCACACACACACACACACACGTTGACGCGCAGCGGCGTGATACGATCTGAGGTGTATACAGGTACAAGTCTTTGAGTTCGACTTGGCATGTCTGGGATATGGTTTGCTCATGCCTGTGCAGCTTTTTTTTTGTTAGGAGTTTGTTCAGTAATTAGCCTGGTCCCGTCCTCCAAACACCGGACACGGCCCCTCCCCACCCGACCGTGACCCTCCCATCACCGAGTGACGGTGAGGTCACGTCACTGTCTTGGTAAAGCCACGGCAGAGGCCGGTCAGAGTGTGGCTCTGAAGTTCATCTGGCTGTCGTCATGACAACGATTGCTACGTTGAGCCAACGCCTCATTCGGGGCGGGCGGAGGCGGCTAGAGGCTGGGGCGCTGGCGGGTGGTGTCGTAGGACCGAACGACCTGGGACTGGGACACCACGCCGTGCTCTTCCTGAGAGAAAGCATAACCATCTGAAAAAGGACAAAACAGGAGAAATGTTTACATTTTTACACTCACGCAGGAGCAGCTTATCTCACTGTGAGTCTTTAATTATCCATTTTTTTAAAATGCCGTTTGTATTTTCCACAATAACCATTTTGACCTTTTGGATCACTTCATGTACCGCAAAATGTATCTAAAAGGCTTTAAATTTGGATTATCTCATTCTTTCAACATTCTAGATCCAATTTTTATAAAAGATACAAAAAAAAAATAGGTAATTTTTTCAAATTTCTCTTAACTCAACATTGGTCTTCTTCTCAGAATAACTGGTTTCATTCTGTCCAGAGCGTTTACCAGACTCAAAAAAGTATTCACAAAGCTTGAACTTTTTCGCATTTTGTCACATTGGAGTTAAAATCTTTAATATAATTCAACAGTGGAGCACTGTTGTGAAAGAAGACATAATGTTCAGTTCTTTTTTATTGAAATAAACAGAGCATTTCTATTTAGCCTCCATTAATCTAATAACCACAAATAAAATCAAGTGCAACCAGTTACCTCCAGAAGTCAATAAATTATTAAATTGAGTTCACCTGTGTTTTAAGCTCAGTTTAAATTCAGCTCATCTGGAAATATAAGAATATATAAAGGAGGAAAGCTGAAACTGCCCACCCCCATCATGCTGTTTGAACACATTTTGCTTTCCTTCCTTTTCACAATTATCTGCTCATATTTGTTGATCTATTCTCTGACAAACAGAAGATGGAGGCTGTAAGGCGACAAAACTTAAGAGTTCAAAGGGTGCGAATACTTTTGCGAGGCTCTACTGTGTTTAAGGAAACTCACGTGACACCGTCTGCTGCACCGAGTTGGAGCGTCCGACACTCGAAGGCGTTTTCCTAAATACTCTTGTCAGCAGATGGGCTCGTTCGTTTAGACTGCAACACGGATGAAAGGCAGAGCGATTAATCTGCAGTTGCAGAGAGAAAATCAACACTATACCCCAATACTGAGGGCTAATGGGAGATTGCATCTAAATCAAAGCACATTGATCAACGTGTAAAGTGAGTTTAGGTCCAGAGGGATTTAATGATGCATGTTTTGGAGATTTAATTAAGCCCAACTGTAATCCAACAACTGCCTGCAGGGAAACAAGCCATCCACAGTGAACTGTTCCTCACCCCCCACGCCCCCACCCAGCTCCTCTCCTCTCCTCATAACTCCTCCTGTCCACGGCGAAGAGTGGCCCCTCTGTTTTAAGACCACACGCCGTCACGGCTCCTCTCCTCCCCTGACCAAAAATAACTAAGCTCTCGCCACATATTCCACACGAACACACACAATCATGAATTTCTCCCCCTGTCTCATCACCGTCATGGCAGCCATAAAAGTATATGCACGGGATGTAAACGTTTAGGATGCCGTCAGCGACCAGGATGTATAGTTAAGTTTATATCCTCTGGTGTTTAAACAGCGTGAAACCGAGGGGTTTGCGCTGAAACCTGATGTATTTTGCAGCGATTATGATCGGTGGGCTAGTTATGAACTTGGGCCAGGATGCCCCGGGCTACAATTTGAATCTGGGAGCCAGGAAACTGTTGGGAATCTTCCCCCCCGAGTTTCTACCGAAGTAACAAACAGCTTTTTAGCTCGCTCAAGGACTTCTTTGGCCTCGAAAAAAAAGAAACGTCTGTTAGATCGATGACGGAGCCGAATCATAAAAGGCTAAATGGAAGCTGGACATTTAGCCGTCTCCCCTCAAATTCCTGCCAGTTCAAAAGGAGCCCAAGGATATGCTCCATTTTGAACCCTTCCACACATGCATACAAAAAAAAAAAAAAAAAAAAAAAAAGCCAGCACTGAAACACAGATGTGTTCTCATTTCAGCGTTTCCCACCGCTGCTTCTCTGACCTTCCATACTTTCCTTCTCTGATTTGAAATGGAGCGGATGGAGGGATCTGGTGACGATTCTGATTTGGAAAGCAATTTGATTAAGGATGAGACCATATGTTTGGTTCCCCGACTCATCTTTCGGAAACCCGAAGCACAATTTAGGTTTTTCCAACTCGTTCATTCAACCAGCTGCGTTTAGAATCGTTTTAGCAAACACTCCTCATATCAGATGATGAAAAATTAGAGCTAC